ATATGGCTTCAGGGTTTGTTGACAGAGCTGGGATTCAAGCAGGAGAAGAATGTCTTGCACAGTGATAGCCAGAGCGCGATACACTTGGCAAAGAATTCAGTATTTCATTCTAGAACGAAACATATTGCGCTTCGGTACCACTTCATCAGATCCCTGTTGGAAGATGACGTGCTAAAACTAGAAAAGATTCCAGGAAGTAAGAATCCAGCAGACATGTTAACAAAGACGGTGACAGTTTAGAAACTGGAGTTGTGCGCAACTTCAGTTGGCCTTCATGCATAGATGATGAGGGCAGAGCTATATAGGAGAGGAGTTTTGGATTGTTTCTGACACTGTTAACTGTTAGATTTGGGGGTGGAAACCAACCTCCGCAGGCGAGGAGCTCCGACGAGCTCGAGGATGGCGCAGGCGAAGCTGGAGGGATAGTCCCAGGCGAGCTCGAGATCCGCTACGAACGCCCACCTGACCCTCGCATCCAGCAGCTCGACGACCCTCACGTTCAGAAGCTCAACGACCATCGCGTCCAAGCTCGACGACCCGCGTGTTTGGGAGATGCCGACCTCCGCGTCATTGGCGACGCTCGCGTCCAGTTTGAGTGCTGGCGACAGGCTGTCGCTAGCCCACCAAATCCAGCCTATATAAACCTTTGGGATCTAGGGTTTCGGGGCCGAAGTTTTTCCCCCTCTTCCGACTTTTCCTTCTGGCGGCGGAAACCCAATCCCCAAATCGCAGGAGAGATTTTGATAATCTCCAGCTCTCAATTTCATTTGAGGGGAGATTAAGAATAGAGTTTAAGAGAGAGAGAGAATTAAAGAGGGGGGGCTTTATATAGTGGGTTATTTATTTATTCTCAAGTGAGAATTGAAAGGGTTTATTCCCTTTGATTATTAACACTGTAGCTACAGTGTTCATCTGAGATATCTCATATTTGATCTGCTCTTAAATTGTAATTTCTTGTTTGATTAATAAGAAATTATCTGTGTGGCTCCCGAGGACGTAGGCAGTTGCCGAACCTCGTTAAAACTTGGTGTACTTTATTCTATTCTGCGTTTCCGTTGCATTAGGGATTTCGGCGTTAAATTCCCAACACGCTCTTGTTCAGAAAGCATTAGGGAGAGGGGAGAGGGAGGGGTCGAGGATGGGCCAGGGGGTCAGGAGCTCGAGCAATAGCGGGTCCCAGGTGGTTGAGGAATATGGAGATCTACAGTGGGAGAAATTAAGTGAGGAGAGAGAGAGGAGGAGATTAGCTGGGCCTGAACACCCTTCTCCTAAGGAATAAGGAGATTTGCAAAGAAATTAAGTGGAAAAAAAACATGCATACATAAAATATTGAATTCATACTTACAGGAATTATAGGCTCGTTTATCGTTTTTTGTTCACTCGTTTATCGTTTCATACTAATGGTCTGGTTGTTATTTAAATCCATGTTCCTTCTATATGTGTAGAAAACAAGTGAGACCAACAAAGCAAATCGTGAAGGTCTAGAATATGTGCACACTACGGGGACAATAAGTTTTGTGAGGATTCGCAAAAAAATGGTATTTAAAATTTTTTTAGTGTTACTTATTAACTGCATCCTTTCTTTTTGTTTGTTTTTAATGTATTTATCAATATTTTAACTATCATGTCTTTATTATAGGAAAATGAGTTGGGAAGGCCTCCAAATGAAGCTGAAATGTTTATTGAGACTCGTAAAAAGAAGATAAATCCACAAGGAGAGAAAACAATCAACTAAATATTAGTATTCATATATTGCTTTTTAGGTCCTAATTTTCATATAACATGCATAGCAACTAAATATAAATTTTGCTAATGCAGGGTGCTTTAGAAGAACTCAAATCTCAAGATGAAGCTGATGATGCATGGGATTTAGTCAAGAAAGATGAACATCCTGAACGTGTTCATCTTAGGGGGAGGGGTGTCACTAAAACCATGCTCTAAAATAAAAATAAAAAGATCATGGATCCCTCTGAGCAAGTTCCAGAATCTGTTGTTCAAACTATATCACAAAAAGTTGAGCAAGAGTTGACAAAAAAGTTTGAAGAGCAGAAGGCAAATTTGGTTCATGGTTTCGCCGAGCTCTTGACTGAAACACTTGGGCAAACAATTGATCCGGCGGCTATTGCAAGACTTATTGCACGCACAAGATCACCTGAGCAAGGTGGTAGTGCTCGAAATCATGATCATCCTCGCTCATCTGCAAGCAGCCATCAGCCACGAAATGAGGTAGTTTTTTCTTTTGTTATATCTTTCTTTTTCTTTTTTGTGTATTATGACAACTTGATTTGGATTGGTTGCTTCTTAGTTCGCCCGAAATGAGGTGTTATATACCTAAATATGATCGTCATGCAATAAGTTATGACTCTAAAGAGACACATACAGTCCATTTCATGCAATAAGTTATGACTCTAATGACCTTTATCCTTCTATCATCCGTGTCTCTTCTATTCTACTTGTGCTTACTCTTAATTTCATTATATAAGTCATGGTTTGATCTTGAATATAGGGCCTCGATCCCATTAATTAAACCTCAGTTTGATCTTGATAATTTCTATGTTGTAAATGACTTGATAACTTTATACATTTACTTTGAAGGGTTTAATACTTGTGCTTACTCATCTTTTTATGGGATGTTGCTTCTGATGAGGATTATGATCCATCGGAAATTTGCGATGATAGATAATCACGAGCTTTTAAGTCCCTGATTAGGAGAAAGAAAATTCAAGGGGTGGCCATTGCAATAACCGTGATTGATCTGAAATTGAGTTCATACATTAAGGAATAACCAACTAGGTTAATGTATGAAGAAAACGTTAACTGGAGTGAATAACTCATGTGAGTTCAACGCCCTCTGTCTTGATAGCACAACATACTGTGACAGAGTATACGTTAGACTAGCGGTTAATGGACTCGCATTAGAAGCAAAGGGCGATCTGTATTAGCGTTAGGGTTGCAAAACTGTAGGCAAAGATGCGTGCTTAATTCATTTCGGCTAACATGGTTGCTATTTGATTGTCCAGATTGAAATTGTGCTGGCGGGAAACTCAGGATTGGATTACCATTGATTAGGTGTATTCTCTGTTGTTTCTCTCTTAGTTTTATTTGTGTGGATAATGATGGTTGTACTAGCATGATTCAGGTGCTCCAGAATTAAGAGAAAAAAGAGCTTCTATGAAAAAAGATATGGTAAATTAAGTTTGAAACGTCTAACAAGTGTTATAAGTTTAAGGATATGGTAAATTAAGAAGTATCTGCAAGCATCCATCAACTGTTTGCATATCAAAATATCACATATATCAGATAGGTCTTCCTTATGAAATATCAACAACACATGTTTCTACTCTACACTTCAAACCTTAAATCTGCCCTTTTTCCTTGCTTCAGAAATGCCCATATGACTATATTACATGAGGGATTACGAAAACTGTAAAGAGTGAAGGGTTCCTCATGAAGAAAGGAGAGGAAAGCTCCAGAATTAAGAAAAAAAAGAGCTTCCATGAAAAAAGAAAGAATAAAGGTTATTTATCGATTTATTCTTAAAGGTAATAAGACCGATAAAGTCACATGAAAATAGAAAGAAAAATCAATGTCTCTATGAACCAAAACGATCTTAATTTGTTTCTTTCCATCTTCATAGTACGGCAACTGAGATAGAGAATCATGTGCTAATTCTAAGAGAAGAAGAGAGGATCCAAGCTCATGTGTGTCGCTAAGAGATAGAGAATCATGTGATAATCATTAATTTGTTTCATGATTAGGTGTATTACAGTGCATTTCATTCTACTTGTGCTTACTCATTTTTTTATCTTGATGTATGCAGGAAAACATCTGAAGATCCATGTTTGCCGCTCTTTGGGGGATTTATTTGTTGTGAAGATTTATAACTTAATCGTCTCAATAGAGACATTTTGACCTTTTGATTAAGTAGTAGCTCTTTGTTTTAATCATGGAGGATTTGTGATATGTGCTTAATTTGGTATGTTTTTGTGTAAAACTTGTGAAGAATTATCTCAATCCTATTGCTATAATATTGTTCTTCGTTGTAATGAATTGTTCATTATATTAAGGCTAAAGTTTGGTTAGTTTTGTGTAAAACTTGGACTATTGTTTCTTTGTATATGATGGACTGATGTGTGATATTTGGGTGATTTGTTTTGATCAGTAAAAAATAAAAACCGTCCCCTTTGGTATAAAAAATCATCCTCATAGATCACAAACAAAACCGTTCCTATAGACAATATAACCGACCTCTTAGGTCAAGCTCGAAACCGTCCCCCTTGGTATAAAATCCGTTCCTATAGAAACCGTTCCCCTTGCTATAAAATTGTTCCCATTGCTTAGAACATAAAAACCGTTCCCCTTGCTATCAAACTGTTCCCGTTGCTTAGAACCTAAAAACCGTTCCCCTTGATATACAACCGTTCCACTTGTTCTAAACTAAGAACCGACCCCTTAGCACAACCGTTCCCTTATGGTACTATTGGGGACGGTTTACAAATCGTTGCACTAGGAGCATAAACCGTCCCATTAGACCTACGGGCACGGTTGCAAACGAGACGGATGTAGAACCGTCCCCATAGACCTAGTGTGATGGTTTCCATGCATAGGGTGACGGTTCAGAACCGTCCCTATAGGCCTCAAATGTGGTAGTGTGACAAGTATACAAACCGGAATCTCAATAGTAGTCAAATCCTCCTGAAGCTCTATCTCTGGTGCATCCAACACTCTCTGTTGCTCCTCATCATGTAAGTGCTTCTTGAGCATAGAAACATGAAATACATTGTGAATACTAGACATCGATGCTAGAAGATCTAGTCTGTATGACACAGCTTCAATACGTTCCAAAATCCGGAAAGGTCCAATATACCTCGGTGCAAGCTTTCCCCGTCTTCCGAATTGCATAACAAAATCTCCAACATGAAACTTCAAGGGTCTTCATCTCTTATCTGCATAGCTCTTTTTCCTACTCTGAGCGGCTAAAATCCTCTCTCTAATCATTGCTACCTTCTCAGTAGTACATCCTGTCTTTTCACCTTTGTAGTCCTATGCATAGTCAGTACTATAGCCCCAATCATGGCTACTAATAAAATCAGACTAGGAACCAAAAACCAGACGGAATAGTAGGTATAAAGTAAATTGCCTAATGTTTCCAAATTAGTCCAACTTCGTACCTTTCCGGCATAAACCGTATATTTAAGAGAGGTCGTATTTCTGTGGGTTGGTAGTAATGGAATGGTTTCATTATCTAAAATGAAGAACATTTCCCACCAAAGGATCAGTCCAATAATACCTGATAATCATATTTTATTACAATTTTATACCATCATTATCTATTTTATATGAATAAATATACTACTAATAATTGTTCTTATCTTTAATTGCAGGTTAATGAAGAATAAATCTCAAACTCTAATTTCTCAACAAAAGACCCTTGATTTAATGAAGAAATGAAGCCATGAAGCCCAATGAATTCTTTCAAGTATTTAATGAAGAAATAAATCAAAGCCCAAACCCAAGAGTCCAAGAAAAGCCAATGTCCAAAGCCCAAAAGCAAATAACAAGAAGAATCTGCGGACAGCAAAAGGAGAAGGGCAGGCATCGATGCCTGCATCCATGGGAGCATCGATACCAGCATCGATGCCTGCATCGATATACTGGGCAGTTAGTTACGAATCTAAGGCTGAAATTTGTTGTTTTTAGATAAGATTTCAATCCAATGGCTCTCATTCACTGATGTTTACAATAAATAATGGTAGAGAGTGAGGGGTTAGAGGTGTGAAAATTTTTGTAACTCCTTTTGGAGAGGAGGGCTACTCTTAATTGAGAAGGTCTTCCAAAATTGTAACTTTTTATTGCAATTAATAATAATAATTTTTTTACCAATTTAAAATTTTTTTCTCTTCTTCTCTTTGTTGGATGATGAAGATGAAGAATTATTTGAAGGTTTGCATTTCTTCATTTTTTCTCTTTTATTTCTTTTTTATTGCTTATTAGTTTAGATTTAATTCTATGTTTGTAGTTAGATTTTATTTTCTTGTTAAATAGCCAAGAGGCTAGAACCCTCTTGCCTTAGATTTATTTCATGCTTATAGAATAGATTTATTTTCTTGCATTTAATTCTTGCAATTTTATTTTGTAGTTTAGATTTTGCAATTTATTTTGTAGTTAGATTTTAATTTCTTACACTATTCACCTTGAGGCTAGAACCCTCTTGGGTTTAGTTTTTATTTTTGTTTAGTTTTATTTTGTTTGATTCTTTTTTAGGCTAGAACCCTCTAGGGAATCACCATTTTCTAAGAAGTGGGTTCAATTTTAGATTACTCATATCTACAATTGAATCCACCATCTTAATTTCTTGTATTTTCTTTTATTCTAGAATTTTGTTCTTCATTCTTGATTTTTTTTTTGTTCTTGATTTTATTCATTTTTCCTTCTCACCTTATTGATCATACTCATTCTTTTTTTTAAATCCACTCTCATTTACACTTTGCACCTATTTACACACCATTTTCACTCTCTCAATCTCTTCACAATCACATTCACTCATCAATCTTATTTGTCACGCACACAACATAAGAACTGATTTTATATTTTCTCCTACAAAACACCTTCCTCGTGGGATCGATATTTTTATACTATAACTTGACACGGTTGTGCACTTGCAACCTTTTTGGTACATGTTTATGCCGCATCAAGTTTTTGGCGTCGTTGCCGGGGAAGGTGCTTAAGTAGGTTTTAATTATTTTGGTTCTTTAACTTGTGTGTTTTTTGTGAAGGAAACACTTGGAGCTTGAAGATCGCGGATTGGAAAATTAGGATTTGAAGATTTACTTTTGGGTAAGTCATCTTTCTAGTTTTTAATTCCACCCTTTAGCTACTTCTTCACATTTAGAAACAATTAGGACTTAAAAAAAGATTTTATTTTTGTTTACCATAATAAAATTCACTCTCCGCTTTAACATTTACTAACAAGATAATAAATTCAAACATATTACCCCCTTCTCATTTGTTTGATTGTTAACCCTAATTTAAAAAAAAGATTTTTCTTTTCCTTCCTTTTTAGTTGCTTTTAATTCATAGGGTTGCATTTCATATTGATAGTAGGAATTCACCAAGTGATTTGAGCATCTTGATTTGACACATACTTAAAAATATTTTTAAGGGTAAAACCCCATAATCAAGATAAGGTGAGGGATTTTATCACCCTTTCCTTAGCCCAAAAAACACTAATTCCTCACTTCACAAACCCAAGCCTAATAAAACTCATTAGACGTTAGCCCCTAGGGATTCGAGCTCAATAAGGAACAAGAAATCCTTAAGTGAACCGGTTTAAGTTTTCTCAGATTAGTTGGTGTCTAAGGCAAGGTTTAGGGGTTGCGTAAAGCGCTCCATAAGGAACGAGGTACTTAATTGATCTTCCTGGCTAACTACCTAGGTAAAACTTTAATCTTTTCACTGTAGGAATTTTTGGTTAGGAGCTGGTCTAGTTGAGTTAGGCTAAACCCTAGAATTAGAGTGATTGAAAAGTGATTGCTTTGATTTGTTTTAGTTAGGTTTTCTCTATTTTTTTTCTTCTCATAAAAAAACTATTTTTTTTTCTTTTTTCTCTTTCTTTATAAAAAAATATAAAAAGAAATAGTTTTGGTGTATGCAATAGTGGATTAGGGATAATACACGTCGATTAATTCGCTTTGAACCAATCATAGAAATGGAGCATCATAATCCACCCGTTCTTTATGATATGTGCTATCCCATTAGGAATGTGATCCCTTCGCGTATTAGGCTCCCCGAAACAAATGGAATAAATTTTGAGCTTAGACCGCAATACATAAACATGCTTCCCAAATTCCTTGGTAATGAAACAGAAGATGCATATATTTTTATTTCGGAATTTGAAGAAGTGTGTATTATGATTAAAATGAGAAAATTAAACGAAGATGCGATCAAACTCAGATTTATTCCATTTGCTCTTAAGGATAAAGCTAAAAAATGGCTGTACAGCTTACCAACAAATTCCATCTCAACTTGGGATGAATTTTTCACTGTTTTTCTTAAGAAATTTTTCCCTATTCATAAAACGGTAAAGCTTAGGAACAGCATTCAAAACTTTAAAATTATCCCGGGAGAACCTTTTTGAAAGTATTTTGACCGATTTAAAGATCTTCTCATCCAATGTCCTCATCATGGTTTAGAAAAATGGTGATTGTGCCAAATAATTTATGAGGGATTAGATTATTCTGCAAAAACTTCCTTAGAATCAATGTGCCACGGGGATTTTATGAGGAAAAACGCTGATGAAGCTTGGAAGTTTTTGGAGAGTCTTTCTGCGATGATAGGGTTTCCCAATCTAAGTCTTGTGGTCTTTCCTTAGAGTCAAACATTGCTTCTGAAGCGAAGATGGCGACAATTCTACGGAGGTTAGAAGCTTTAGAAATTAAGGAACGAGCTCCAGCTCAAATCAATCATGTTTCTGCCTCAGGATGTCATAATTATCAGTCTCCTACCCATGTTTCAGAGGAATGCTCTCTCCTAGGAAACAACAATTCATTAGAACAGATAAATGTTGTATTCCAGCATCCTAGAAATGATCCATTTTCTCTACTCTACAATCCAGGTTGGAGAAATCATCCCAACTTTGCATGGAATCTAGGAAATTCTCCCGGAACTCAAAACTTCACTCCCGCTTCGACCCAACATTTTCCTAGGGGAAACACAGTTCCGTTCAATTCTCATTCACAATTTCAAGAACCCAATTTGCTGTATCAAAATCAGTCTCCTCTTCATCAAGCTGTAATTCAGACTCATCACAATCCAGATCAGGATAAACATCTCAACGTCTTGGAAAGGGGTTTGGAAACCATAATTAAGGCCTCCACTCAAACGACGAATATGTTGACTCAAACGTCTAGCACTCTGAATTCCTTCATACAATCCACTGGACAAATGCTCAACTCCAACACTCAAGCTATAGCTAGATTGGAATCCCAACTTGGTCAACTAGCTAGTGCCATGAGTGAAAGAGAGAAAGGAAAATTTCCAAGTCAACCCGTGATCAACCCTAAGAACACAGGATGCAGTTCATCCTATGAAGCCCAAGTGAATGCAATCCATTCAATTCGGTCAGGTAGACAGGTCGATAATCAAGTGAGAACTCCTCCAAGTCAAACTCTTGATCCTGTACAAATTCCTTCTCCTTCTGATGAATCTATTCAACAATCACTCCCCTCAGATGACCAAGAACCTGAACCCGAACCTGAGCCTGCTTTTGATAGATTTAGACCGGTTGCTCCCTTCCCAGATAGACTTAGGTCTAGGAAACACTCTCCTCAGGAGGAGAAGATCCTAGAAACATTCAAGCAGGTTAAGGTCAACATTCCTCTCTTAGATGTAATTGAACAAATTCCATCTTATGCTAAATTTTTAAAAGAATTGTGTACTAAGAAGAGGCGAACAAATGTTCCAAAGAAAGTCTTTTTAGCCGCCAATATCAGTGAAATGCTATCAAATCTCATACCTTTAAAACGTAAAGATCTAGGTTCCCCCATCATTTCATGTATCATTAGGAATATTCACATTGATAAGGTGCTGTTAGACTTAGGGGCCAGTGTTAATTTGCTTCCATATTCAGTCTACCAGCAATTAGGTCTAGGTGTACTGAACCCAACCAAATGCACCTTACAGTTGGCTGATTGATCTGTCAAGGTCCCTATGGTTGAGTTAGAGGATGTTCTGATTAAGGTTGGAGATTTTATTTTTCTAGTAGATTTTGTAGTTTTGAAAACACAGCCTGTTTCCAATCCCAAAGGACAAACACCTGTCATCTTAGGACGACCTTTCTTAGCCACTTATAATGCTCTCATCAACTGTAGAACTGGTCAAATGAAGCTGTCCTTTAAGAATTTGACTGCTGATCTCAACATTTTTAATCCAGGGGACCAACCAAATAATCAGCCTCTAGAAATAAACTACATTCAAGAAAGATCAGAAGAAGAAGAAGAAGAGTCTGATTTGAGTTTTGAGAAAATTTTTAATGAAGAGTTAGAGTTTTTAGAAGAAGCAGATCAGGTCCTTGAGAATAATAAAACTGTGTTAAACATGTGCTGCTTTGAATTAAATTTTGAAGAACTCTTTCTTGATGAACTTAGATTCTTGAAGAATAATCAACAACCAAATTTTCAGAACTTCACAGAAGAATTGGTTGTTAGAAAACACAACTTCACAGTGCAAGAGTCTAAGTTCATTAAGAAATGCAAAATGCATGACACCAATAATACCTACCTTACCTTTGTGCAAGAATTATTGAACACCCCGAAATGCTTGGAAATTCACATTATTGATTATATTATTCTGAATTTGTTTAAAATCCGGGGAAGAATTTTTAACAATAAGGTAGGATTCAATGTAGAACAGGAACTCTTCATGTTGAATATTTCATTTTACATTGTTTATTTCAGAATAATAAAAAGAATTTATTCTTCTCTCATTTGAGAGTTTCTTGTTCAGTTGTTAAAAAAAAGAAGAAAAAAAAGAAAAAAAGAAGAAAAAAAAGAAGAAAAAAAAGAGAATAAATTTTTTATTTTATCCTCCTCAGACAAAAGGTAATTGCAGATTTTTATCAGCCGACCAAATGTAAGTGCTTCACTTCTTATCTGCTTTACTTTATGCATCATAGAGTTGCATTGAGGACAATGCAAAATTTAGGTGTGGGGGTGGGAATTAGTTATTTTTTCTCTTTATTTCACATTTTTAGTTACATTTTTGTTTTTTCCCCTTTTTTATTTTAAAAAAAATTATAAAAATATCGTCACTTGCCAAATTGATAGAGTTATGTAATAATTGATTTATTTGATAAATTTGAAATTTTCTAATCCCTAGTTGGTTATTTACTTAAGTTCATCTTTTATGATAACTCTAAATAAATTTCTTAAGAAATGATTTTCAAAGTAGTATACTTTACTTAAGCTTTAACTTGGACTTTTATTTAAAATAATAAAATTTTTGCATGCTTAACTTAGAGTTGAAAATAATTTTTTCAAAGTGTCTCGATTTACATATTTTCAAAATATATATACATATACAAAAAAAAATGCAAAAGAAGAGTGCGAAAAATGGGCACAAAAAAAAAACTCTTGAATTCAAGGTGATTCTATCTTATAAAGCCTAAGCTGACCGAGTAATTAAGCTCAAGGAGTATTTCCATACTTAATGACCTAAGCCCATTTAGGTTGGGATCCATTGGCCCAAAACTCGTTAAATGGTCACTTAGAAAGCCCGTTAAAGTAGAAAAAAATCACCAAGGAAGAAAGAGTTAAAAAAAAAACTAATAAATGTTTTATAGTTGTATATATGGTCTTGGAAAATATTTTAAATCAAGCAACTTGAAAATTATTTAAAACAAAGAGTTAGCATATTCTTTTTAAAATTTTTAAATTAAATTTCTAAGTTTGGCTTGGTTTTGTATTGCTACAATGAGAAGATTTTCTTGAAAATATACCTTAGGACCCCGTTTGGCAAAGGGTTAATGAAGAGGGGTTAAAGAGAAGGATTAATGTACTTAGCCCATTTGATAATCCGAATGACTAAATTATTAACCCGTTAAATAAGTTTTATTTTAGCCCTTATGATCAGTTTTAGTGTTTGGGAATAACAATAATTTTGACTATTTTCTTTATAATTAGAAGGGTTAACTCTTATTCCATCTAAATAGGAGTATTAGTAAACCCCTTATTTTGAGGGGTTAACTTAACCCCTCTAGAGGGGTTAACTTAACCCCTCTAGAGGGGTTAACTTAACCCTTCTATATTTTTTATGTTTGGCAAATTATGGAGGGTTAACTCACTTTAACCCTTATATAGATTTGTTGTGTTTGGTAGGTTAAGAAGGGGTTAAGTCTCCTTAACCCCTCACTTAACCCTTTGCCAAACGATACCTTAAGTTATATATAAAAATATTTTCTTGAGTGATAACTGGCTCCAATTAGATTATCTAAGAGTTATCAAGTGAATTTAGTTATTTACTGACTTCTTTAATTTGGCAAGTTGACCGAATTTTATGGGTATATTCACTGCAAACCCTCACGAGACTACAACTCGTCCATTAGGGTAACCTAGGGGTTTAAAGGCTTGTTGTATGTACTAAATACAACCACGATTCCTGCGAAAGTGAGTTAGATTTTCTTTCAGTTTTCTTTCTTTGCTAGAGGACTAGCAAAAGTTTAGGTGGGGGGTATTTGATAATCATATTTTATTATAATTTTATACCCTCATTATCTATTTTATATGAATAAATATACCACTAATAATTATTTTTATCTTTTAATTACAGGTTAAGAAGAATAAATCTCAAACTCTAATCTCTCAACAAAAAGCCCTTGATTTAATGAAGAAATGAAGCCATGAAGCCCAATGAATTCTTTCAAGTATTTAATGAAGAAATAAATCAAAGCCCAAACCCAAGAGTCCAAGAAAAGCCAATGTCCAAAGCCCAAAAGCAAATAACAAGAAGAATCTGCGGACAACAAAAGGAGAAGGGCATGCATCGATGCCTGCATCGATATACTGGGCAGTTAGTTATGAATCTAAGGCTAAAATTTATTATTTTTGGATAAGATTTCAATCCAATGGCTCTCATTCATTGATGTTTACTATAAATATGGGTGGAGAGTGAGGGGTTAGAGGTGTGAAAATTTTTGTAACTCCTTTTGGAGAGGAGGGCTACTCTTAATTGAGAAGGCCTTTCAAAGTTATAACTTTTTGTTACGATTAATAATAATAATTTTCACCACTTTAAATTTTTTTCTCTTCTTCTCTTTGTTGGATGATGAAGATGAAGAATTATTTGAAGGTTTGCATTTCTTCCTTTTTTCTCTTTTATTTCTTTTTTATTGCTTATTAGTTTAGATTTAATTCTATGCTTGTAGTTAGATTTTATTTTCTTGTTAAATAGCCAAGAGGTTAGAACCCTCTTGCCTTAGATTTATTTCATACTTATAGAATAGATTTATTTTCTTGCATTTAATTCTTGTAATTTTATTTTTTAGTTTAGATTTTGTAATTTATTTTATAGTTAGATTTTAATTTTTTATACTATTCACCTTGAGGCTAGAACCCTCTTGGGTTTAGTTTTTATTTTTGTTTAGTTTTATTTTGTTTGATTCGCCTTTAGGCTAGAACCCTCTAGGGAATCACCCTTTTCTAAGAAGTGGGTTCAATTTTAGATTACCCATATCTACAATTGAATCCACCATCTTAATTTCTTGTATTTTCTTTTATTCTAGAATTTTGTTCTTCATTCTTGATTTTTTTTTATTTTGTTCTTGATTTTATTCATTTTTCCTTCTCACCTTATTGATGATACTCATTCTTTTTTTTCAAATCCACTCTCACTTACACTTTGCACCTATTTACACACCATTTTCACTCTCTCAATCTCTTCACAATCACATTCACTCATCAATCTTATTTGTCACGTACACAACATAAGAACTGATTTTATATTTTCTCCTACAAAACACATTCCTCGTGGGAACGATATTTTTATACTATAATTTGACACGGTTGTGCACTTGCAACCTTTTTGGTACATGTTTATGCCGCATCAATACCACTAACTGGTAAATAGCGCAAGACTTCTTCGTGAATCTCCGCTATTTGAATATTGAACATCATAACCACGAATAGGAATGAAACGACAATAGCTCCTATATGAACTACTGGGGAGATCATAGCAGAGAAGTCGAGACCTAACAAAAGAAGTAAACCAGAAGTGTCGCGAAAGACTGGGATGGGAAACGAAATGGAATGTACTGGATTTTTAGCATGTACAACCATCAAACCAGAGACCAAAGCAGGGCTCGACGAAACAGAAAGTATCATGGTACGTCGTCCTTCCCTGAAATGGAACTTGAATGTGTCTTCTTACTCCAACATTCAAGTCGATCTATTACGACCAGCGCGATTGTTCGTATTTCATTTTCTTCTTTCTTCCAAGCCCTTCTTATAATATATAAAAAAGCACTCACTGAATTACTTACGGAATCTCATCTTTCTCTCGACGCCGAGAATTTTGGATGTGTCCGGGTCGATCAGAGGTTCGGCTTGCTTCTCCCCCACCCAGCAAACTCCAGCATTAAAGCCTACGTGCGCTAGCGCACCCGAGGACGAACAAGCAACGGATTAAGCTAAGCGCAAGGTTCTGAAAGAACGAACAAGCAACAACTTTTGCCGTTTCTATTAGTGCAGCCGTTTTCTTTTTGTAGCGCATTAGCGCATCCATTTTGAAGCTTAGCCTTGTAGTTTTTCACCTTCAAAAGAAGGCGCCAGCGCTTAAGTACTGACCCCTCTGGGGGTCCCGGGTTGCTTTGGCGCACCCTACCCTAACGTGAGAGTATTACCTTTTCAGCCTACGCTTGCTGCTTGCTGATCGCTGTGTTCAAAAATGACACGAAGCTGGATATGAGTAGATGTTGTTGGTCGAAAACAAAACGTCTCTCATTCACAATGGAACATAATAGTCTTGCTCGATGCTTTTCCTTTGTGTATTTTCATATTCAGAGTTCAGGCAAAGTTCTTGAAACTTCGAAACTCAAAACCCAACCTAGAAAAGAATGCTACAATGTTCGAAATTCTCAACTTAACATGCCCCCACTACTTCATCTACAGAAATAACTGGGTAGATCTAATGTATTCTAGCATTAAACCAGCTCATGATCCTTAGGCTATACAGCATGGAGCAGGCAGAGAGATGAAAGGACCACCTTCTCCTGCTTGCTTGATCGAAATCTATTCTAGAAGGGATGAAGTGCTACTTAACTACCTCACAAGCTCTGGCCTAAGCATTAAGCTATCCTCCGGCTCTACCTAGCATATCGGTGATCTACAAGGTCTCCCGTACAATGCCGCATATGGGGCCATACTGATTGTCGCTTGATAACTATTGTTATAAGCAAACTCTATCAGTGGAATATGATCCTCCTAGCTACCTTGAAAGTCAATGACACAAGCCCGCAACATGTCCTTCAACACCTAATCCACCCTCTCCGTCTGACCATCCGTCTATGAGTGGAATACACTACTATAAGATAGTTTGCTGCCAAAGGAATCCTGAAAACTCCTCCAAAAATGTGAAGTGAACACTGAACCTTGATTTGACACAATCATATCAAGAACTCCATAAAGTCGAATTATCTCCCGAATAAATATCCTCGCATACATCTCAGCTGTATATGTAGTCTTCACTGGAATAAAATATGCTGACTTTGTCAACCTGTCCACTATCACCCAAACAGAATCATTCCCCTTCTTCGACTTTGGCAACCCTACAATGAAGTCCATAGAAATATCTGTCCACTTCCACTCTGGGATGGGTAAAGGCTAAAGTGTTCCTGCCGGTCTCTGATGCTCTTCCTTCACTTCCTGACAGGTAAAATACTTAGCTACATACTCTGTAATCTCTCTACGCATACCACTCTACCAGAAGTGTCTCCTCAGGTCCTTGTACATCTTAGTGGTCCCTAGATGTACTATGTACCTAGTACGATGTGCCTCATCAAATAACTCCTTCTTCAGCTCGGCACTGGATGATATAACCAGCCTACCCTTCATTCGTAGACCTCTATCTAGTCCAATGGCCCAATCAACTTTAGGCTCTTTGGTAATCTCCTCCTTTCGGATATGAATCCAAGAGTTTTCCAGCTGAGCTCTGACAACTCTGATACTCCAAGATGGCTGCACTAACACAGCTCCCAAAAATGCACTGGTTCTACCAATCTCGGGTCTGAAATCAAACTAGCTAAGAGTAAGAAGATCTCGATATAATGAGCACCTCAAAGCCGAAACCTGATGTCGACGCTTCCTGCTTAAAGCATCTGCTACGACGTTCGCCTTCCCCGGATGATACTAGATCGCGAACTCGTAATCCTTGATAAACTCAATCCACCTCCTCTATCTCTGGTTGAGTTCTTTTTGAGAGAAAAGATACTTCAGACTCTGATAGTCTATGAACAACTCAAACTACATTCCATACAAGTAGTGCCTCCATGACTTTAGTGCAAATACCACTGATGCTAACTCTAAGTCATGAGTGGGATAGTTCTGCTCATGCATCCTCAACTGCCGTGAGATATATGCTACTACCCTCTGAGTCTGCATCAAGACGCCTCCTAAACCTGCTAATGATGCATCTGTATAGACCACAAATGTCCTGTCGCTGCTTGGAATAGTCAAAATTAGCGCTGTAGTCAACTTAGTCTTCAAGATATCAAAGGCCTTCTGGCACTCCACGCTCCAAATGAACTATACACCATTCTTCGTAAGGCGTGTAAGTGGCGTCAAAATCTTCAAGAAGTCCTGGATAAACTTTCTATAATAATCGGCTAATCCTAAAAAGCTACGAATCTCTGTCACCGTCTTTGGTGGTTCCTAATCAAGAACTGCTATAACCTTAGCCAGATCTACTGCTATGCCTTCTCTACTGATGACGTGGCCGAGAAATTTGACTTCTGAAAGCCAAAATTCACACTTGCTGAATTTAGCATATAATTGGTGCTCCTGCAGAGTTCCTAAAGCTAACCGTAGGTGCTGCTCGTGTTCTGCCTCCGATCTCGAATAAATTAGAATATCATCGATAAAAACAATCACAAATTGATCCAATAAGGGACGGAAAACCCAGTTCATCATGTCCATGAATACAACGGGTGCATTGGTCAACCCAAATAGCATGACCATGAGCTCGAAAGATCCATATTGAGTCAGAAAAGTGGTCTTGGGAATATCCATCTCCCGAACCTGCAACTGATGATAACCAGAACAAAGATCAATCTTTGAGAAATACTGTACTCCCTGCAACTGGTCGAACAAGTCATCAATCTTAGGTAATGGGTACCTATTCTGGATAGTGACCTTGTTTAACTCTCTATAATCAATACACAAATGCATACTGCCGTCCTTCTTCTTCACGAAGAGAACTGGTGCTCCCCACGAAGAATGACTCCGACGAATAAAACCATGAGCTAACAACTTGTCCAACTGGGCCTGAAGCTCCCTCATCTCAACTGGTGCTATGCGATAAGATGCGCGGGATATTGAGCTATGCCCGGCTGCAACTCAATATAAAACTCGACCTCTCTCACAGGAGGTAACCTAGGTATGTCCTGAAAGACATCCTGATACTCTGAGACAACTTTAGTCTTTAATAAATCAATACTATGATCCCGTAGCATCACCTCCTCGATGTACACTAGAAATGACTCTGCAAAACGGTTACCCTGAGAGGTTGCCACAATCATCTCAGACCCATCGGACGCTTGCAAATTGATTGTCTTCGCAAAGCTGTCAATACTAACATGGTAGGAAGATAACTAATCCATACCAAGGATAACATCAAACTCGGACATATGCAATACTATCAAATCGACAACAAACTCCTACTCATCTAAACTGATATTACACCTCCTACAAACGCTCTCCAGAAGCGATATCTCACCTAAAGGGGTGAAAACTGATAAAGGGGTGTCTAAAGGCTAAGCTACGAGCTGGAGTCTAGTCATAAAAACATATAAAATGAAGGAATGCGAAGCTCCCGAATCGAAGAGAATACGGGTGGGAAAAGAATTCACAAGGAATGTACCCTCCACTACTGCTCTGCTAGCTCCATGATCACGTAGTACTATCGCATATACTCTAGCTGTGGCTGAAGACTGCTCTACTGCTAGTGCTAGAGAATACGGGACTATCTTCCCCTGATGAACCTCCTGAACTGCACGAATCTGTCCCTCAATCTTCTGGGCTGCTGGTGGTGCCTCTAGCCTTATCTGCTGACCCTGACCTCTACCCTGAACTCTCTGCTGCTGCTGGTTCAAGTCCTTGCCCACCTTGCGACAGTTATAGCAAACTCCCTGAAACTTACGCTACTGATGCGCTCTTTGATCCTGCTGGGGTTCCTTCTTATGAGGGCCCTGATGCTGCTGCTGAGATCCCGAAAAAGGTCTCTTATTCTTACCCTTGTCCCCGGTCTGTCCTGCCTTGCTCTTCCCTTCCTTATCCTTCTAGAACATGGCAATCTCAATCTGCTGTGAGTTGGTGGCCTCAGCTACCTCTCAAACTGAATAGAACTTCCTCGAGATGAGGTATCGACGAAGATTAGGGCGAAGCCCTACTAGGAACATCTGAGCCTGACGCTCTCCTATCTGCTACATACCCGTGAAGTGCAGCAACTCCATGAGCCTGCTCTCAAAATCTGCCACTGACATGTCCCACTGAGTCAACCGGGATAACTCAAGTTCCTTCCTAGTCCATGCTGTAGAAGAAATATACTGTCCATTAAAGAAATATGCGAAATCCTCCCATGTGAGGGTCATCCGGTGCTCTGGAGTGAACTGGAGTCGATACCATCTCCCGACGTCTCACTTCAGACTGTAGGATGCAAATATCTGCTTTTGTACCAAATCCACATTAAGTATATCGAGGGTGTTACTCACATCATCCTTCCACTTATGGGCTGCAAGAGGGTCTGATGACCCCTGAAACTCTGGTACTCTCATCTTCTGGTACCTCTCTACCATATAGATCCAGGCCTCCTGCTCTGTGGCTCTATCCGGGACTACTGGTGGAATAGCTGTAGGTGTTTTCTCTGGGGGTCTCTCTCTGATAGGAACGGTTGGTATCCCCTGTGGCTGATCTACTAGTGGTGGTGGTGGTGGCGTGATATGATTCGCCACAAGCTCCTCAATTGTTGTCATCCTAGCGACTATGGGAGCCATAAGACCTATAAGGTACCAGGGAGCCTGCTGCGGCTCAGGTGGTGCCTGCTGTGGCTCGGGTTGAGCCTGCTGTGGCTCGGGTTGAGCTTGTTGTGGCTCAGGTGGAGCCTGCTGTGGCTCAGGTTAAGCTTTCTATGACTCTGCCTATCCAGCTCTCCCAGTACGAGGTCTACCATGTCCTGCCATCTCTCTCTGGTCATAAGAAATAAGGGTTCATGAGTCAAAATAGACATATATACATGCAGAATATATCACAATACGATTTTCACAATAATTTAGTATTCACACAAATACTTTAATTTTACACAAAATAGTTGTTAAAAAAATTCTCAAATTTTGAGACATACGCATATATCGTCCTCACTTATACTAGGAAATTCTTACGGACTCTATACATGAATCCTAAGAAACTCTATCCTAGCTCCACGACTTGACACAGGATGATCCTAAGGATACTGGAATTAGGGCTCTAATACCAACTGTGACGTCCCTGGATTCACTCAAGGCTACAGTCCAAGGTAAAACCAGGAATATCAAACCTGCCATACACCACATCATGTAATAAACATGTTTCACCATCACAATTACTATCTCTCTAGTAGAGTCAATAACATGTGTGGGTACAAAAGCAAGTAAAAGATAATATAAGAGTCAACTGATGAAATAATAGAGATCAAATAAATATTCCATCATCTAACATACTGAAATACAAGTCAATGTCTGAAATAAATAAACTGGAGTTTCTCAACAAGTCTCAAATACATAATGTCTGGATAAGAGGAAATAAGGCACACAGCATTTATAACTTCTAGAATAAAACCCTCAATATCTAAACAAAAGTCTACAGTGGAGCTCAAAAGAAAAATATAACTAAAATAGACAGCTGAATCACTAAAGTGCATCGCCATTAACCTACGACTCTCCGAGCACCTGGCTCGTTACCTGAAATGGGAGGGACAACGAGCGTCAAAGCACTAGCGAGCAACATCACAACCAACCCTAAGGGATAGGGCTCGTTGGACAACGAGCGTCAAAGCACTAGCGAGCAA